ATTTCCGCTTCTGCGACAAATCTCCCGCATTTGTGGCGTCGCACCTGCGGTCCTAAATCCGCAGGTGCGGAAACAACAGAAACAACAAATCTGCAGCATTCACCAAACTCCCAATCTCTCTGTTGACCATCCGAAATCACCCCAAGGCCCCCAGGACCTCAACCAAAAGCATAAACATATCCCATAACCTTATTCAAACTCGTCCCAACCTTCGGAACGCTCAAAGCAACATTAAAACACCAAAATCACATCAAATTCAAGCCTAGGATTCCAAAATCTTCTAAATTCCGCTTTTGATAAAAAACCCAACAAAACCATGTCCGAATGACCTGAAATTTTGCACACACGTCCCAAATGTCACAACAGAACTACTGCAACTTCCGGAATTCCATTCCGACTTCTAAATCAAAATCTCACCTATTAACCAGAAAATGCCAAAATCTCAATCTCGTCAATTCAAGCTTAAACCTTCCACGGACTTCTAAAATGCATTCCGATCACGCCCCTAAGTCCCAAATTTCCTAACAGAGCTAACCAAATCATAAAAATTTCGATCCGAGATCATATACTAACAAGTCAAACCTTTCAAATTTCAAGCTTCAAAGTGAGAGTTGTTCTTTCAAATTCATTCTGATTACCCTGAAAACCAAAACCAACGAATTACATGAGTCATAATACATCACAAAGGGCAAGCCATTCCCGAAAGCTGGCGAGCAAAGTGCAAAAGGTCAAAACGACCGGTCAGGTCGTTACAAAAAGCTACCCTTGGCAAACTATAATATAAGTTACTTACTTTGGGAAAAAGTTCCAGTAACACCGAACCCCCAAGGCGCCTCAAAACAGAATAATGTAAAGGCAAGGTTTGTTCGAACTTTCAACACTTAAGTTTTTTTATGCTAAGGCATTCCGGCCTTTGTGAATACAAGTAATGAAGCAAAGGAAAAATTTGAAAGCCGAAAGGAAAAGAAAGCCTTATATATATTTACCCAATAATCTTTTTATAAAGGCCAGAATGACGTAATACAAAAATCTACAACGGTCGAAACGACCTAAAAAAGATGCAAAAAAATAAAAACATATAAAGGCCTAAGTAGCCTGGTCTTCATCGGAGGCAGCATCTTCATACTCAGGATCTTCCCCGCCTTCAGACTCGCTTAAGCTCTTGGAATCTTCCTCGGGAAAGGCCAGCTTCTGGGCCTTGGTTTCTTCTGCTTTGGCATTCTCGATTTCAGCTAGTATATCGAAGTTCTGAGCATGGACTCCCCCGAGGGCTTCGCTTCAAGCTTTCCACCTTGCATGCGCATGTGTCTGAATCGCCTAGACGTCAACCTTGTATTGAGCCACTTTAGCGTCACCCTCGACCTTGGCCACAACCACCTCTGATTTGGCCGCCTTGAGTTCCTTGGCCAAATTCTCTTTATAAAAAATAGCCGAGTCCAATTGGGATTGAAGCTCCTTGATTTTCTTGACCTGTACCGAGGTTTTTCTATTTTGCAGCTCGGATCTGGGTCTCGGCCTACTCCAGTTGTGCTTGGACAGCTTCCTTTTTCGAGGCTAAGATGTCCATATTTTTCTTGAACTCCTTAGCCTCAGCTTGTATCATATCTACATGTGCCTGGAGTTGCCCGATCTATTCAAGCCTCTATCGAACCTGCAGGATCGGATTGTTAGCCACTTTGTCCAATTCATCTTCACTATCATAAAATACTCGAATTACCTACTCGACCATCTCGGCATGCTCCTTTCGAGTCATTTCTAGCTTGTCCTGAAGCTTCTCACTAGGAAGCTTGTAGGTGTCCCTCTTCTAAGTGAGGTCCCGAACCTTGGCCTCCTGATAGTTTAACTCCTCCCGGTATCGGAGGAAAGTCTCATGGTGCAGCACTGAAGCATGCAATCATAAAGGAAGGTGTTATGATTATTTACAACTTTAAGTTTAAAATACATAAGAAAAAAGACACTCAAAGTTGCCCGATTTAATGCTTGTTGAGATTCATTGAATAGGCAGGGGGTTTCCAAGTTGTCCATCACTGCCTAATCTTCTTCGGTCAACAAAACCCGAAGGTAGCTAGCGACTCCCACGGAGGCAGAGAAAACCCGATCGACACTCGGGGCCGGCAACCGGTCCACTAATTCTGGGCTCGAGGAAAACCCACTAGCTCCCCGCAATGGTACCTTCTTTGGCACCAGCAAGTCTCCAAGCTCAAAGACATTCTCTAAGGTAGTAGACTTTAACCAATCTAAGAAGGTGTGGATATCTATCTCCCCCTGAGGCCTCACATAAGAACGACCTTCTAGCATGCTGGCCTTATGGATCATGGCATCTGAGAACTGAGGAGACCTAGTAATGTCAATCGCCCCGAGGCATTTCAATTTCAGCACCCGTCGGTTCGGAGGGCCCTTGTATCATGACACCTGCCCCCACGCAGGCCACCAGCTTGGATTTCTCTTTTTCTTGTTTGGACTCGTCCCTTAGCCGGTGGACTGAGTCCTAGGGTAGAGCGTCAGTGCTTCCCTTGGGCTTGCGCGACCTTCTTTTTGGTTATTCTTTTCCGAGTTCGGAGAAATCGAGGCTCTTTTTCTCTTCTTTTCATCACCCTGCCTCGGAGAAGGGGACTCGAAAGGCACATCCTCATCACCGGATGAAGGCCTCATAACAACGTCTTTGGGGAGACCTATAAAAGAAAACAGAGTCAATAATAATCCGATAGTGCAAGATGAAAATCAAAAATCATAAAATTAGAAAAAAAAACTTACCATGATTACGGGCCTCCCACCGACCCTTCGACAGTTCACACCATGCGTGCACAGAATATGGTCTTTGTGGCGCAAGGCCCTCGACCCATTCCTTGAGTCGAGGAACCACTTCCGGCATCTGAGCCACAGCTGCACCATAAAAACACCGATGTGAAGGAAGGGAAGGGAAGAAACGATAGATGAAGTCTTTCAGGTGAAGTTATACTTATGCTTCATGTTCCATTTCTTAGGAAATGGCATATCCTCGGTGGGGATTAAGTTCGAGGTGCTCACTCGAACAAATCGACACATCCAGCCTCAGTCCCAGTCCTCATCTATACTCGAAAACGTGGCACTAGTGGCCCGGCGAGAAAGTTTGATTAATGCCCCTCGATAGAGTCAGGGATTGTATAGACGCATAAGATGATCGAGGGTAAAGGGACACCCCTCGATTTTGTTTACGAAGAAACAAAGAAGAATAACTATCCTCCAGAAGGAGGGGTGAATTTGACCGAGGGTCACCTCGTACCTCTTGTAGAAGGCGATAATGACTGGATCTAAGGGACCCAACGTGAAAAGGTAAGTGTAAACAATTAAAAAATTCTCCACGTGGGTGGTAATTGCTTCCTCATGTGAAGGCACCACCACATGCTTATGTGCCCAGTTGGAATCCTCTTTGACATGGGAAAGAAGACCATCGATGATCGAACATATGTATCTCGAGACCGGCTCACATCGACCCGGTACCGACGAAGTTTTTTCAATCTTGAAGTCAATGGTGGTCCCGCACCCTCCAGGAACGAACTCGTCAGGGTGTGGTTCCGCCGCAGCCCCGTCGCCGGCAAGCCGTGATGAAGAGGTGGCCTCCTTTTATGGGACAGTCTTAGATGTTTTCACCATTTTAGAGCAGAGATGATGAAGAAGAAATTAAGAAGGTATGCTTAGCAGTTTCCAGAAAGTTTAAGAAACTTGGGTACCAAATTTGGAGAGTGAAGAGATTTTTGATAACAAAGATGGAAGAAGCTTTGGACATTAAGTTTGAATGAATGAAAATCGCGATATTTATAGTCTGCTAATGGCGGTTCAAAACCCGTAGTGGCCGACAACAATTGACATGCATTTAATGCCTTGGTAACTGGATCGGCGAGACGTTTCAGTAACTGTTTGTCGCCTACGTCACGGTCTATCGAAGCAGGGTTCAGAGGTTCATATCATTTCTCGTCATCTTCTCTCCGAAAAATGAGGGGACTATCTGTATACGGTCAAAATCGGGTTTGCCTATTGTATGACCAATCGAGACTGAAGCGTGACAGGTTAAAGTTCGACCTCAGGTTATATCGAACGGAGGTGCGAAGTTACATCGTTGGCCTCGTGACCTAGGGACCAAACATAATCAAGACCAAACAAGATCGATGGAAATTTGCTTAGCCGAATAACAGAATGCCGAAATATCTGCGATCGGTTAGAAATCAAGGAAGAAATTTCAGCACGTATCAAGGAGAGGCCAATTAATTAGCAAATCATGAGATTTTTACCTTCTATAAAATTGTATCAAGAGTAGGACACCCCTACTATATGGGGGGGGGGGGTTTCTAA